AAAATCTTAACTGAAAGTCTTGTCACGAGAAAGGGGTGTGCAAAAACGGTCCCGAAGGAGCTCACCAGTGAACAAAAGCAAAGGAGAGTTAAAGTTTGCCAAGACCTTTGGAGAGGCAAGATGATATTTTGGGCCATTTTATCACTGGTAATAAAACATGGGTGTACCAATATGACCTTGAAACAAAGTATCAAAATGCACAATGGAAGTCAGCGAATTCTCCATGACCAAAAAATTTCCATCAGTCCAAATCAAGAGTCAAAACGATGTTGCTAACCGTTTTCTGATATCACAGGGACTATTCGTTATGAATTTGTACCAACTGGACAAACAGTTAACTAACTTTATGATTTGGAAGTGCTGAAAAGGCTGTGTGAAGAAATTAGACAAAAACATCCTGAACTGGGGTTGGCCGAGTGGCTCAGTTGGTTAAGAGCTCGCTCAAGAGTGCGAGCTTTGAGCAACAGCAGTTCGAGTCCCGGCCCAAGCTGAGCTGACGCTGAGCTGCCAACAGGTGGCAGGATGGCTCTGCTAAAAAAAAAGTCCTGAACTTTTCACCAACAATTTATGGCTCTTGCATCACGACTATGCACCAACTCACACAGCACTGTCTGTGAGGGAGGTTTTAGCCAGTAAACAAATAACTGTATTCAAACACCCTCCCTACTCACCTGTCTGGCCCCCAGTGACTTCTTTCTTGACCAGAAGATAAAGGAAATACTAGAAGGAAGAAATTTTGATGACATTCAGGACATCAAGGGCAATACAATGACACCTCTGATGGCCATTCAAGAAAATGAGTTCCAAAATTGCTTTGAAAGGTGGACTAGGCACTGATGTTGGTGCATAGCTTCCCAAGGGGGAGTACTTCGAAGGTGATCATAGTGATATTGAGCAATGAGGTATATAACACTTCTTCTAGGATGAGTTCACGAACTCAATTGTCAGACCTTGTATGTCTCTGCATTATTTCTTTCAAGTGCATGTGAACCTAAAATTATTCCAAAATAAAAAGTCAAATTAAAAACAAAAAAGATTATGTGGTACCACTTTACCAGGGTAAGCATTCCTGGGAAGTAGAAGTATGGAATTAGCAAAAGAGGGGGAACCAAGCCGGAAGTTATGTGAATGACCATGTCTCAAAACTACAACATCTCAGAACCCAGAGGAGGGAAATCAATTTGCCTACTCTTTCCCTCTCTTTCTCCCATTAAGGGTTCCTTAACCCCAGGGAGTCTTAACCTCTCAGCACTGTTGGAGTGGGTCACATTCTGGAGAAACCTAGGCCTGTATTTGCCTTCTGTCCCCAAGTAGTCTAGAACATAAACATCGTGAAGCGTATGTGTTCTCAGTTAGACTAGAAGATAACTAGAATGAAGGAAGCCATATTCATGTTATTCTGTGTCCCCACACCAAACATAAAAAGGGAATAGGAATTATACACTAGATGCCCGTGAGTCATCATTGCACACATTTTTGCATTTCATACTCCAAACAACTGGATGTGGTTTCTTTTAATGTTGTAAAAGTGCAACATGCCCAGGATGATACTATTTGGAACATCACATCCCTGAGTGTAGAAATCTGCCGTGTATGGCAGGTATTCTGCCCCCTGTCCCCTTCCCTCTCTCATACACATGCATACTGCTCAACAGCATTATGGTTTGTGAGTTCTAAACCCTTTGCCAAATTACCTAACCTTTTCATAAGTGGCTCATGCTCTAGCAAGTTGTTTACGTTTCTGACCCTTTTCTGGGTTGTCTTCAAAGTATGAAGGTTTCCTAGCAAAAGCATAGACTGCTAGAGTCGGGCAGCAGTGTAGGGTCTTAGGATCTGGAAGATAGGAAAGAAATTGCCCTCTGAATGGTGAGATGGGGTGGAGGTGGGATGTCTCCCTGAACAGACCTGTACAGGGGGACATGGGTGGGGGACAGTTAGGGAAAGGGGCAGGAAGGAGTCTATAATATGAGGTGAAGACCAAACCCATCTATGTGAAGTGTTGGCTTCAGAACATGAGGAGAACAACTCCGCTTTTTATTTTATTTTTCACATTTTATGCTAGGTAGACTTGCTGTGGCCTGAGGGAAAACTGTAAAATGCTCTTGCATCAGCTCACTATCATCTTAGCTCTTAGCTTTCTTTGCCTTATTCTCTATAAATACCTCTCATCACATAGAGGCCTCTTAATAAACATTGATTCCCCTTCCCTCCTTCCCTCTCGCTGTCTCTCCCCTCATCCCCACTGTCTCTTTCAGCACTACACTGCCCTCCTGTCTGTGCTCTGGAACCTGGGACATAAGGTTCACAGATTGAGAAGAAATCTCTCAGGGAAACTGGCCTCAGGGAGGAATCCCACTCTCAGGAGCTGCCTCACTCCCAGCCCTTGTTTCCTGTGGTCCCCAGTTTCCCACCTGGCCCAGGATCTGAGGGACCCGGCACAGTGGCCCTGCGTCTCCCCTGGGCTGGCCTGAGCCAGCAGCAGGAGGACAGTGAGCTGCCAGGGCTCTCTCTCTGCAGACAGTCCTCTCTGGTGAATCAGAGCTGCACCAGGCAGAGGGGAGGACTCAGGCCAGACTCACACTTGTGGTGCCTCGGTGGTCCTGGGCTGCAGCGTTCCTGCAAGGAGCCTCACACCGCTGTCCACAAGCTTGAGGCTTGTCACTGATGGGGGATTTCTCATCCAACACAGCTAGGATTGTTAGAGCAGCACTGAAAGCTTCGTTTCTAAAGAATGAGGCAGGTTTGTTTAGCTTCATGCATAGTCTTTAATTAGAAAAATTAGTCTTAGCTACACAACAAAGTAAAATTGATGATTCAGTAACAGCTAATCATTTGCAAGAAACAACAGATGCCCTTACAATGAAGATATATAAGTATTTCATGGTGCGGTTTTTTTTTAAAGCACATTTAACAAACTGAATAATGCATTATAATGATCATGCTGATCTTTCTAAATATGTTTTAGAATTTATAATAAAAAATTTCCTTTGAGGATGCCAAGGAAGTTTAGTTAATTGGTAATGAAGTTAAAACAGGAGTGGGTGCTGGCGCTTTATACACATTCACCACCAGTGCCTCCAGACAGTCCAAAACAAAGGAAAAGCCTCAGGAATGTAGAGGATTAAAGGAGGGCTTTCAGTCAGATGGACACAGGCTACAGAAAGAAACCCTGGGTGCTGACAAACATACGTGAGATGGATAATGGGTGATCTGGGGGTGGGGGAGGACGAGCTTTGCCCTAACCCCTGGAGAAGACTATTGGCACAGGCTGCAGAGGAAAAGGCTTGCCTGAGATCCCGAGGAGAAGATCCCATGCCAGAGATAAGGGGCAGTTTCCTGCCAGGCTGAGGCCCAACTGGCCAGGAATGTCTCTAACCAGGACTTTTCTGGAGGGGGAGGGAGGGAGTGGGAAGGAGAGGTTGTCTCAGCATTTCTGCTTCAGGCCCTAGTGAAATAACTAGACTTGCCCAGCTGTCATGAACTAGACAACTGGGCAACATAAACGAAATGAAAATGACCCTTTGCAGGAAAAGAGGATGAGATTACTGAGTCATGTCCAGGTCTACCAAGCCAGAATCTGGGATGATCTGGGGAAGCCTGCATCTTCCAACCAGGGTGTCCCATGGGGACTCCTCCATCAGTGAGTGGCGGGGCCCTGTGAGAATGACCTGTCCCAGTTACTCTGCGGGTCTCTGTGGGCTTAACAATTCTCCCAGGTGCAAGCTCATTATGAATATAACTTGATCTGAAAGCTATACTAAGTCTGTTAATTTTGTGATGACCTAATTGTAACTAATTAAAAATAGGTGTTTAGTTCTGGTCATTTTGTAAATGAAAATTAGATCCCATCACTCTCCAAAGTTTCCCCATTCTTTTAAATATAAATCAAAATCCTCATCATTGCCTATAAGGCTGGTGCCGCAGGCCTGGGCCCTCTGCCAGTTGGTCCTGCATCTGATGCCCCACTGCTAAGACAGTGACTGCAGTAGGCCCAGTCCCTCGCCCATGCCTTCCTCTGAATCCCATACCTGTGGTGGAATCTGAATTCACAACAGGTCAAATGTGGCTCCTCTGGGCTCCTTGGATTCATTTCTCACCAGAGCTGGAGACAGTTGGTGAAACACTCTTGGCATCAAAACCTGCAGCTTCTTGAAGGAAGATATTAAGTTGGCTCAGATTTCCTATTTCTAGGCCAAGATATCAGACTTGCATAGCTAAGAACTCTTGAATTTATGTGGAACTGCTTCTTGACAGTGAAAGATACATTTTTAGTTTCATAGCTGGAAGCTATGATTCACAGAGATGCGCAGGAGTGAGGAGGCGGCTTGGCCCCAAGCTGTATTCCGTACACCAAAGACTTCCATCCCTGCCTCATTTATGTTGTCAGCATCTCCGTTATAGGCTCACAAGTGCTTGGCTCTCCCAGCCAGCTGAAGTTTAGCTAAACCAGGAGAAACCAGAGACTGGGAGAGGAGGAAAGAGTAATGGGTTTTGAGGGCTCAAACGAGCAGGTTGATATCACCATTTCCAGTTTTGAGATGAGACTCTGAGGCTCAGAGAAGTGAGGTCACTGGCCAGAGATCAAGCATGTCGAGTAGGTGTCTGAGACAGTCTAGGACTGGAAAAGCCGTGCAGAAGCCCAAAGGGCAGGCGGCGGATATTGTGGGATTGGTGGGGTATGACTCTGACTCCTGAGTCTGGACAAGGGTCCCCTCCCCAGAGTGTATGCAGCTGTGTTACCACTAGCGCACACTGGTAAAATCGTGTAAGTAGGAGCTTGTGCTTACTTTTATGCTTATTTCAATATAGAAATTTTCAAAAATGCATGAAATTAGAAAAAAAACAATAAAGAATGGTAAATTTAACCCTTATGTATGCATCTCCCAGCCTCCAAGTATCTACTCATGCCTATCTTTTTTTTTTTTTTTTTTTTTAGCTGAGCCATCCTGCTACCTGTTGGTAGCTCAGCGGCTGCTCAGCTCGGGCTGGACTTGAACCGCTGTTGCTCAGAGCTCAAACTTTTGAGTGAGCTCTTAACCAACTGAGCCACTCGGCCGGCCCTATGCCTATCTTCTTTCATCAACGCACTCTCATCCCCCCCAGAAGATTTTAAAGTGCATCCCAACATTATAATAATTTTACCCAAAACATATATTTATAATAAACATTTTTAGCCTGTAACTGTAATTCTACAATTATAGCTAGCAATTCTTTAATATCAACTTATACTTGGCTTATATTCAAATTCCTTGATTTTCTCCAACAACAAGAGTCCTTACAATTGGCATATTTAAAGGATCCATACAAGGTTTTACACGTTTCAGCTGTTTTCTTTAACTCTGTCACATTTTGCCTGCATTCTCCTTTTCCCATGCCATTTATTTTGTTGAAGAAACTGGGCCATCTGTTCCTGTAGAATTTCCCACATTCTATATTTAGTTCAGTGGAATGTTGAACTTAAATGTAACCTGGATGCTTAAATATAGAGGCTTGATTGGATTTTAATTTGTCTTGTAGGATTGTAGATGGCATTGCGTTCTCCGTGTTTGATTTTTTCCAAGTGATGCATCTAAATGGGGACTTTTAGACAATACGAAAATCTGGGTAATTACAACACTGATGACAATGATAACAATATAATAACAGCAGTGGTAATTATATATTGAAAATTACTTGTGCCAGGCACTTTGCCAAATGTTTCACATGTATGTTTTCATTCAAGCTCATCCTCATTTTATAAAGGAGCAAGTCAATGAGCAGAGGGACTGCTTTAATGACTTGCCCAGGACTCAGAGCTGGTACATGACAAAACTGGAATTTGAGCCCAGGTTGGTCTCACTCCAAAACCCAGGTTCCCTAGCCCTCTGTGGGGCTTTGTAACTCCAGTGTAAGAAGGCATCCTATGCAGTGACTCTGGGGAACAGAAAGGAGGGAAGTAGAGAGGGAGGTTTTACTAAGCGAGCTAGAGAGGGCACTCTACAGCCTGGGCCCTTGAAGGGGACAACCAGGAGCGCTACATATAGACTCCCTAGGAGAAGCTGTATGCAGGGGAGCAGATGTGTGTGGTGAACTGTGTGTTGGGTCGGCATGCTGGTCCCCTTGCCCTGGTTCTTCTTCAGGACATACATATATGGAGTTTAGTAGTACTGCAAAGGCACACTAGGATCCATTGATGTGGTGGCTCCTGGCTGCCTGGAGATTCCTAGCAGTCCTAGGCCCTAGCCTGGAGAGATGAGAAATCTACATTTCAGCCCATATGTGAACAAATTCTCAGAACAAAATGCCATGGCCTACCTGTTAAGAATCTGGTTATGGCTTTGGGGTTAGTGTCCAAATATGACCAGTGCTTGAACTGGACTGGAGAAACGGAAGCTAAGAGCCATGGTGGGAAAGACCATGTATTCTAGGGATTAAGGGAGCTAAAAAATGTGATCCTAGCCTCAGAATGATCATAGCAATAACTAATTCTCTTCTGCTGGAAACAGTGTTACTGTTGGAAAAAGAAAACCTGGATTTGTGTCTGGCCTTTAACATTTATTAAGCCTTAAAATGGTCATTTAAACTTTTCTCACTTCCATAATGAGGCTAGTCCCTTTAGAATTCATTCAATAAGGAATCATGAAACATCTCTTATATATTAGACCCTGTAATGGTAACTGGGGGTAAAAAGTTGTGATGATCAGTCATGGTCCCTGTGCTCAAGGGACACAGAAAAGGGGGTTTCAGAGAAGCTTGCATAAGATAATACATGTGAAACTGGTTTATAAACTCCTGCTCAATCTCACTCGTGGCATGGAGGGATGCAATGCAGAGCTCACCGTGGATGGCGCAAAGAAGAGTCGCAGGTCCCCTGTCCTGCAGGAATGTTGTGAGGGAGATAAGCCACATACATAGATGCTTGCTGCACATGACTAGAAAATAAAAGCGCCACAATAAAGTTATAAAGAAGCATCATGCTTTCAAGAGGATGGGATACTTTGTTCAAACTGGAAGTTACGCTGTATCAGAGAGGCTTCACCTTCAAATTTGATCTGGAGGTTTGAGGAGATTTCACACAAGGCAACTGGAAAGAGAGAATCTTCTGTCATTAAAGGATTGAGACCAAGAAATTGGTCAGCTTCCCTGGCAAAATCACTGGAGATACCACCTGTTGGAGACCCACCATCTGGGTTAATCTGCACTAAGCCAAAATGTGTTCCTTAGGCTGAATTTTACATATGTCTCCAGATGTAAATTGTGCTCTGACATCGCCAACCCTGCCCTCTAATTGACAGGTGGTTCAAAAAGGAGACTAAAGGGGACTCTGGGTGACACGTTTCTTAAGAGAACCCAGACCAGAGCCAAAGATGCTTTTTGTAGGGAAGAAAAGCCACCAGTGCCTTGAAGATGGTGTTTTCCAGAAAGTTCCTTGGTCATGGCAATGCCTGGAGAACACCCTTTTAAGGGGCATCCTGGAAGCATTTTTCATTCTCCTGCCCTGGTTTGTGGATCTGCTTTGATGTCATGCGATAGCCCAGGCTGTCTCAGGCTACTGCCTCATGGTGGTAATGCCCAGTGGAAAAACAACAGGCTTTTAGGAACTATAATAATGAAACTTACATTATCACCTTAATGATATTTATATAGGCCTTTCAAAGTTACAAAAAACTTTCACCCTCACCACCTCATCAAGTCTTATACTTAACTTTTGAGTCCATTTTATAGATGCAGAAACTGAGATTCAGAGCACCATCACTTTGGGATTTGTTCAAGGTCATACTGTGGAGAAGACTGGAAGTACTTCTGATTTTCAGCCCTGACTTCTTTGGGCTATGGGAATCTGAGAAAAGAGAGAGAAAAGCACAGCTAGTCAAGTATCTAAATCCAGACTCTGTTTGCCCTTCCCCACATTTAACCCAGAATATGAACAGAAAGGCTTAATCACTCTGTGTCAGATCATAAATTGTCACTGTGCTGTAGTGACATGTCATACAGCAGAAGGACTTATTCCATGTCAGAGCAATGCTTGGGGCCTAGTCAAGGACCATGCAAAGAACCAAAAGCTCATGGAAGCTAAGTCTTAGGTTAAGAGACTTACTCAAGGCCAGGGCTCCTGATTACAAAATTTAATGCTTTTTTTTCCATGATGTCCCATCAGTGTCCTGAGTGATCATATTCATCCTCAGCTATCTATATAAGATTTGCAGTGTGAACAGCATAGCTTCGTCTTCCTTAGTCTGGAGCTTTACAAGGGCAGGCCTGAGCTCTCTTCTTTCCTCTACATTTCCTCATAGCTGCCGTCGTTCTCCTCCCCTATATCAAAAAGCCTTTCCTCATTGTGTCCTACCAGAAGCATAGAACAGTCTTGTGTGTCTATGTCCAAACTACAGCCTGTGAGCATTGAGGAAACGTTTCCCATGGGGACACACACTGAGGCCGGGGAGGTTCAGTGGATTGCCTCAGAGCACAGGGAGCCAGGCCCTGATGTACAGGCCCCCAGCCTGAGGCATCCTCTGGCACCCTTCCTCTCCACCATGGCTCCCTTTCTCTCCCAGACCTCAGGCTGCCTGGAGAGGTAGAGACCTGTCATCAGTATAGCCTCTGGAGGCCTCCCTGGAATGTCCCTCCCTCCTGCAACTCATCCTCCCTGTGAGCTGCCTGCATCTACTGTTGCTTAGAGCCCCAAATACTCCCGTGATGTCAGAGATCGATGACCCGCCTTATAAGTGGGGAGAGCGAGGCCCAGGGGGAATAACGTAAGAGGCAAGAATAAGGCACCTGGTAAAGTAGCAGCAGAACAGGGTGGGATCCCGGCTGCTGGACCTCATTCTGATGTGGTTCTCACTTGTACACACTGTTCCTATAGGGAGAAGGACAAGGAGAAGAACAGGTTTCGAGACCTGGGTCAAGGGGCACTTCTGCTCCGACATCTCTAGACTTACCTACCTTTCCCTTGAGCTATAATAACAATGGCTCACATTCGCTGAGTGCTGGCTCTGTGTTAGGCACCTAGCAAAATCATTAATAGGCTGTACATTGTTTTATTCCTCACCAATAGTCCTATGAAATAGGTAGAATCATTACTCCCAGTTTTTAGGTTAGGAAGCTAAAACTTAAAGAGTTTAAGTCATTTGTCTCAGGTCACACAGGCAATAATAGCGGGTCAGGACTCTCAGCCTCCAGAGCTTGAGCCCTAATCCACAGTGCTGACCTGCCTCTAGCTTCAGCCATGCTGCCCAGCACCATGCTGAGAGGTGCTGCTATCCTCTCTAACACAATGTTCTGGGGTAGAATGTTAGACTTGGAACGTAGCATCAATCTGCTTACAAGAGGCCCTGTTTTGTTTTGTTTTTTTGGTGTTTTTTTTTTTAGCTCTCTTTACTTTTGCCATCACCCAACACACTCCCTGCATAATTGAATTCTTCTCAGCACCCTGCCGCTTTTTCACCTGCTCTAGAACATGCTGATTTCTCCATATGGATTTTTCCTTTTTATCCCAGGTTCCCCTCATGTAACACACCTTTCCATCACTGTTGACATAGGTTCTAGCACAATTTACAGCCAATTAAGGAGAAAGATTCTCCCCCTCAGCGATGGTTCCTCTCTCCTGAAGCTCAGAAGACAGGAAAGAGTCAGTCCTCCTTATAGGTGCAGGAAACTGTCCAGAAAATTGGGCTGCAGGGAATTTTTTCCCAGGTCTGGACCACAGGACTTAGAGGGGGAAGGCAGCTTGTGAAACATACAAGCTCAGGATCAGAAGAGTTTAATAGTAATAAGTGTTTGCAAATTTTTAGTTAAGTTAGATATAACCTCAGTTTATCCTACCTCTGAGCTTCTAGAGGAGCTTGGCTTGAATCATTACTTGTGGGAGAGACTACTTTTTTACGGTCCTCTGGAAACAGGAAATTCCCAGAGCCGTAGGTTTCTCCCGTCAGCCCTAAAAGCAATTTTTGTTTTTCATCAAATCCACATTCACCTCTACATATTGAAGCAGTTTCTCTGTTAGCTTCTGTGTCAATCTCAACATGGGCACCACACTATTTTTCTGATATCTACCCACAAAACTCGGACTCACATAAGCAGCTGAGCGTTCTGTCTGGGACACCTCCTGCCCAACAAGGGCCTTGGTGAAGTCAGGCACCCAGCACTGTGCTCTCTAGAGGTAACCCACATGGATGGGATTGCACTTCACAGAGAGTCTACTGGCTTTGGAAGGACACAGACCTGGGGCTGGAGTTGGACTGGAGAGATTTTACCTTAAGCTATGAAGATGCTGAGATACAAAGGCACAGCCAAGCCAAAATCTTTTGGGGAAAGCTAAGAGCAAACCAGAGATGAGGTTCAACACCTGATCAGAGGGAAAGTCACAGAGCTAGCAGTCAGGAATGTGGAAGAAAAAGGAGACAACAAGAGAAGGGCAGGAAGAATCACAGCAGGAATGACTGGCAGTCAGTGAAGTATTTCCAAATGCAATAAATGGCGTCCTGGAAATCCAAAGAGGCCTACAATCCTCATTTTGGTTGTAGAAGGTATGAGATGCAGCAATTTATCCTTTATCTTAGAGGGGATATACCATCAAGCTTAGGCACTTAGGCCCCTATAAGTTTCATAAAAGCTAATGAATTGTCATGATTTTTATCTCATTTTTTTGGCATGCTTATATCTTAGTGGGGTAATTGCATACTTGCCACTTCTTGCTTTCTAATTCCAATTGGCCTGATGTCCTCTAGTTGACCAGTATGATGACTCATAAAATGTCGAGGCAATCCAGATCCCTCTGGACCATATTATGATAAGAGATCAAGAAGGTTAACCTAGTTGAGATGCAAAAAAAAAAAGAAAAAAAAAAAGAAAAAGAAAAAGTACACTACTCTTCTTGCTGTATTGCTGTATAAAGAAAAACAGCGTTGCTTCTTCTTCATTATGAGAATTGGCAAAACAAAAAAAACCCAAAAACTAAAAAAACAAACAAAAAAAACATATTCACCAAATAAATAGCTGTCAGAGTCAGAGATTGCGTAACAGTAAGGATCCAGTCAAGAGGCAGAAACCAGTCTAGTAATCTGAACAGTGAACATTTAATATAAAGAATCATTTACTAGTAAAATATGATTAACTATTAAAAGAGGTTTTTAAAAAAAGAACTCTGAGGAATTAGGCATAATGCAGGAAGTGTCTACTACGTCTGGAATGGATGAGGAGTAGCCAAAGAATGAAGAGGGCTCACCCCCAAAGGCGAGAGTCAGACCTCATGGCTGTGTCCGCTGTGTGGATGAGAAGTCCTCCAGAGTGCTCATGGGCCAGAACTGGCCCACAGGAAGCCATCCTTCAGAGTGCCAGAGAAACTCACTATAGCACCACTGGAACTCCTGCGTCATTACAGCAGCATGCCACTTTGTAGTAGGAAAATAAAACAAATACTAGAATCAGGAATAGTAGTTCTTACCTGTGCTATGCCTGGTAGCTTCCCTCTAGAGCCTACCATTGATAAAGCATAACATTGCAGCCACCCGCAAAGGAGAAATGTTTACAAGGTCCAGCTCTCAAACCATAAAGCAGGGAAAAGAAAGAGGGATTTAGAGCTGAGAGACAATAAAAATGATATTTTTTCACTGTTTTTATCCACTCCATTAATGATACCACATCAGAATAGTAGCTGTGATGGAGTGCTCCCCTAGTTAAGTTCATGGTATTGTAGTACTCCGTCAACTGCTCTCGTCTAGTTGGTGTTCTCTGAGGCCAGGAAGGTAGATTTAAATTAGGTAGAACCTAAGGCACAGCTTATCTAAATGATGCAAGGATAGACTATAGCATATGTCTTTGGCTTCCCATAGTATTCCTTTAAAATCCTCTGATTTTAGCTGTGCCTGTGACAGACATTCCATGCAAGTTCAGATTCACCTCATAGTGGAAGTGTCCTACTTCAGCACATGTCTTCTCATCCCACTTCCTGCCTCAGTCCTCCTCCTCCCTCCTCATAGCTCCTTGCTGCCACAGCCAATCTATTGTACTTGGGCCTTGAGATTCTGTAATGTGATGCTGACCTACCACTTGTTCTGGTTTACCAGCCCAAGCACACTCTTGTCGTGTAAAAGTGCTAGGGAGTTAACATCTCTGGAAACAATTCTCAAACAATGTGAGATGGGACTCTGACGAAATTATTCATTCTCATTACCTTCAGGTGGAAGACTCTGGGAGACATTCTGTATCCCAAGTCCAGCAAAAAGTTATTTTTTCTCATGGGCGTTATCTCAATAACATATATTTATATTGGCTTTTGTTCATTGTTTTTCTTAATTTTCCTTCTTTCCCACTTCTGCCTCCTGAGATTACCTCCCAAAGAAACTACTTGCACTCAACAACTTACCTTAAACTGTGCTTTCAAAGGAAACCAAATAAGATATTCTGCATACTGGGGCTTATTACTATCGATATATCACTTACGATCACCCTTCCGATTCTAATTGTTCTCAAGTAAGCAATCTGTCAAGAGTTCAGCTAATCCATTTTATTTGGCCAAGAAGCCTGAAAGGACCTTAAACTGATGCTAGTCCCCTCCTACAAACACATGCTCTAAATAGCAGCCTGCAGTGACAAAGAAATGTATGCTCCTAATATGACTTCCCCAGAGCCCCTTGGTATCAACAGTCTCTCCCACCTCCCAGGGCCTTCCTTTTGTGCAGCACTTAGACAAACCCCTTGAGGAGCTTACTAAAACCCTGCTATTTTGTTTTGAATTGACCAATATGATCTTAGTCCAGCAACCATAAAGCACATCACTCATGGACCCTATTAAAATTCATGCCCCAGGTCCTATCACCGTTTCTGCCTGCACCCTGTCTTGACCTACCCTTATCATCCCTCCAGACATGCTATGCACTTCCTCCAGGACCTGTGTGTGCTCTGTTTTTGAACGATGACTCCCCATCTGGAATGCTGTGTTCTACTTAATAAATGTTAATTTAACAAAGACTTAACATAATCCAATTCCAAAATCCCATCCTAATAGTTGGCTTTCTAGAAGTACTCTTGGTATAATTCTTTTAGCCCAACTTCCCTAGAGGGAAAAAAAGCCTGATATAAGGGTTTAAACTTATGCTTTATTTAGAAGATGCAATCTTAGTATGAGAGTGAAAGAAATGATAGATGAAGAGAAGAATGAAAAGTTATTCAAAATTATGTGATTCTATGCAAGCCTTGGCTTTATGTTGATCTATGGAGAAACACAATCAGGTATTCTGCATATTGACATATTTATTTTCATGGGATTTCTTCATATAGGATATAGAAAAGACACACTGTGAAGTAGTCCATGGGAGACTAGGGTGAGGGGAAATTTAACTACCATCCTGCATTCTGGTTTCCATTTGTCTAGTTAACCTTATAAGGAGTTAATTCCTTTTCAGTTGGTTCATGCCATCCAACCCTTTGGCAGCTATTTGGACAGGAAAATTCTAATTGCGACATGTCAGCTCCAAACCTGAACATAATGAAGGGGGCCATAGACTTGGCAAGTGACTAGTGGGCATGGCTTCATGGTAACAGCTAGTGAGAGGTCCAGTAATCCAGGACAAGACATCTGTCAGGACCACATAGCAGAATCTCAAGGCCCTACGTGTCATAGGTTGGCTTTGGTAGTGCCTGAGAGGAAAGGTTGAGAGTTCTCACCCAGAAATGTGTCCAACTCATCTTAGCATGGCAATGCCCTCAATGAGACATTACCAGGATTTCATCTAAGTTTCTAGATAGTCCAGCATGCTTGTAACAAGCGAGAAGCTGACAAGATAAGTATTTAATGGGACCTGTGCCTGCCTTTTAGCACCTGTAGATTTATGCAAATATATTTCTTATGTTCAGAGTTCAGACTTAAGAAATTTATAAACAATTTTGCATCTGAAGCTTCCTCTAAATGAAGACTCAATTTAAGTAATCAGCACATTTGTACAGAGAAGTCACAAATCAGTTACTAGATGGAACTGTGAATAGCGACTGAGCCTAGCCACTCAGCTCACCCAGAGGATTCTGTTCTGGGTGAAGCAGAAAAAAAGGTAAATGATTCTTCTGGATATCCAAAAGCAGATACACTGAGCCAGTTTACTGTCACTTGTGATCAGGTGAGTGAGGACTTGGCAAAAGGCTGCTCAGAGAAGCCAAAATGAAGAATTGGTCATGTTGAATGCTAACTCATCTTATCCCCAGGGGAGTAAGAAATGCTCACCTGAAAAACGAGCTTGGGAACATCATGTCAACCTCCAGGACATCAACTTCACTTCACCTGATCAAAATTCATAGCCACAATCACATCCAATTTTCCTTGAGGCAGAGAACGATGATATCAAACTGAAACTCCATGTATATGCTGTATTTGCATGTCCACACAGAAGTTCACCCGCATATTCCAGGCTTGCTCTAGGAGTTAGTCTTCCTATCTCTCAATTTTGCCAGTATAGCCCCTTAGTCATTAACTCCTATTGACTCTACATGCCTACTGATGCATCAATTTATTTCCCTTTACTCTGCTCTTGCGTGAATTCAGTCTTCATTGTTAAGTGTTTATCACACGTATTCATCAATGTGCAAAATAGTTCAGGAGAGTCAAGCAAGCCTTAACGGGAAGGGGTGGGGGGAGACAGGAAAGGAGGCTCAAGATACAGACGGCTTTTCATTTTTCTTCCTCTATAAATCTTTTCCTAAAACAGCCTCACCATGGAAAACTGGCCTCTGCATTCTATACACATCTGTGCATCTCTTTAGGATAGCCTTGTATTGTGCTCCCTTGCTCCCTTGCTGTGCTTCTGGACTAGCCTTAGAGGTGACAGCTTATGTCTCTCTCTATCCCTAGCACCATGTTCAGTATCAGGTGAGAAGCTTTGTAAATATTGGCTGAATTAATGAACAAATGAGACTCTGACTCAGTCTGAATCAATAACTCTGATTGAAGTAGTAATGAATGGCTATGCCTTAATAAGTCAATTGTATTTTTAAAATAAGTTAGAAGATTAACTATCTTTTTTTTTCTGTTGCTAGATCAATTAGAGAGAAACAGATCACCAAAGAAGGATGTTATTGCTCCTTGGTATTTAAAAAAGGAGCTGAAAACATATGTCCACACAAAAACCTACACATGAAGCTTATAGAAGCTTTATTCATAACTGCCAAAACTTGGAAGCAATAAAGACATTTTTCAGTAGGTGAGGGGATAAATACACTGAAGTTCATCTAGACAATGGAATATCATTCAGTGTTAAAAAGATATGAGCTATAATTCCATAAAAATATATGGAAGAAACTTAAATGCATTACTAAGTGAAATAAGCCAATCTGAAAAGGTTACATACTGTATGATTCCAACTATATGACATTCTGGAATGGGTAAAAATAAAGAGACAATAAAAATGTCAGTGATTACCAGGGGTTCAGGGGAAGAGAGGGCTGAACAACTGAAGCAAAGAGGATTTTTAGGGCAGTAAAACTATTCTATATGATATCATAAATGGTAGACCCAGGTCATTATAAATTTGTTCAAATCCATAGAATGTATACCAATAGTGAACCCTAATGTAAACTTTAGAAAAAAGAAGCACATTGCTAGAACTGTTCGATTTCTACTACTACTACTACTACTACTACTACTACTACTACTACTACTACAAGATAGTAACATTTATTGAGTACTGACTACATTCAGAGACTTTGCAAAGAGCTTTGTATGCACTGTGAAGTTAGGTATTACCTGATTTACAGATAAGGAAACTGATGCTTGGAAAGGTCAAGTAAGATTATATGATTAGTATGCAGCTGTGCTCTGACACCAAATTTCCTGCTCTGGACCATCCTAACTTTCGGTCTTTCTGATCACATTTTTCACTAGAGAACCCTACATGAGTCTATCCAAATACAGATATCCTCTGGCAGTATTGCATTAGTTAAAGAGATCCCAAGAGGGATCAGTCGTGGAGTTCTGAGAGCCTTCATTCCAGGCCCTGTGTGCTGGGCTTGGTAAGTACCAGTGTGCTCAGCTTAATTTCATGAGTAGCAGACACAGCTTTCTCCAAAACAAGATACTGCTACTTTACCCAGAGACTCATATATCTGTTTGTTTTCTGGGTTCCTTAATAGAATACGAAATCCACAACTATCTATCTTGTTCATAATTGTATCTTCAATGTGTAGATCTAGCATATAGTAGCCTACCAATGAATGAATGAATGAAATGAGATGAGATAAATAACTGAGTGGGAAAATACCTGGACATACTGCTGTACCACTTATATTATCAAATTTGCCAAATTTTATCCTCATTTTATAGACAAGAAAAGGGGGCCCAGAGAGGTTAGTGATCTGCTAAGATCACAGTCTATGTTGTATTGACCTTAAAAAAA